AAAATACAAAGTAATCAAAAATCTTTCTCTGGTTAACACAGTGTTCACAAATCAAAAATCAAAACATCCGATTGTTCTTACATTATTGTGCTTTCTCAAACATAATCACCCAGGTTAATTTTTAAATAAAATTGTTAGTTAAAAAAAAAAAAAAGCACAAACATTTTACCCTAAAAATTTTCAGCCACAACACTTGCACATATTCAACATTTATCTCACAACCCTTCCTTGTTTACGAATTTTGAAGTCTCCAAATACCTCTTTTCCACATAATTTCGTGTTCACTGGAAAATTTCTATCATCTTTTACTTTGAATGTTCTCACCATAAAGTTACACATGCGATGGAAAAGACAAAAGATTAAATTCTGTAGGAGGAATAGTTTTTCTTCTGTGAAGGATTTATTCTTATTGTTTGTTTTTATTTTTCAAGCCAGTCCTCTTCCCTTTTTCAACACATTTTTGCTTATTCTAAGTCTCATTCACCATTTCAGTTATTGTTCTGGGATCAAGGCCTTCATTTGCCTTCTTTTACCAGTACTATCCATACCAATAATTAGTGGTCTAATGATATATAGAGACATTCCAGGCAAGCCTCACCGTATACTGTCTCATCTACTCTGGATAGTTCACCTCTGGAAAAAAAACTGTAACAAAAAGTGAGGATGTCACATTGCAGGCAAACACCATGGCTGGACTACAGTTGATGCTGTTGATCTGTTCTCACACGTTATTAAGGGTGAGGTCCCAGTCCCCCTTAGAGTAGTATTTTCTGACTAGTCACTAGAGGGTTCTCAGGGAAACATGGAAGAGGAGGAGTATGTTTTTGACTCTTCACACGTACTTTCCCCAAGCTCCAGCAATCTTAAGTCATGCAGCTCTTAAAAGCAGTTCTAATGACACCAGTGTGGTATTTTATCTCTGGCCCTAAATGTTCTTGGTTTTCCTATAAGAATTTTCATGTCACTCCTATCTGCATGAAATCATTGCCATTTTGCTTTCTCAGATATGATGTTCTGAAGTTCCAAAACCCACAAACATCAAATTATATATATTACGTAAAAAAATATAGCTCAGATAAATAATCAAAAACTAGAGATTATGGAGAAATGGTGCAAGCCCCAAGACTCTGTTATCTTCTATGAACTGGCAGGTAACTAGCTAAAAAAGTGTAAGGGTTTAAGAAACATTGCTACATATTTTTCTGATTCTTTTAAAAAGGACTCATGCTCTTGCCACTATAATACACGTAACAAAAAGCTATTCCAGACACTGTATGCATCTTATTTTTTTTAATGGCACAGTGAAAAGTCTTCACTGCATGGCTGAAGAGGAGAAAATCTGCATCTATGTATGAAAGCAATCAATTCATTCCATCTGTAATGAGATTTCTCCTTTCACTTCAGTTTGATTGTTTAACTTCACAATCACCTCTCATGCTGTTTGCAAAAAGAAGAAAAAGAAATGGAAAAGATCCAAAAGCTAAGCAAATCAACATGACTATGTTCAATCTCATCACTACCTGTTCTGAAAAATGTATTTGCATATTTATAATACTACATTACTACGGCGATGACAACCTTTAGTGGCAGCATATAAACCAGCAAGACAGTGAGAGCTCAACCTTTTCCAGAAACACACTAGAAAACGGCTGTGCCCTCACACTGGGCACAATTCTCAGTGGTCATGGCTATGCTCAATATGTTGAACAATACCTATGATTTAAAAATACAGGGTAGTTCTTCAGCTAATAAAGACTTCAAATTTTAGCTACATTTTTGCATGCCAAATCAAGAGTAAGAAGTATTTAAAAGGCAGCAGTATCATCTGCTATGCCTATTAGCTGGTTTTGCATGTTTCATGACAGTGCTTGTTTTTCCCATCAGAATACTGTAGGATCTTTCTTCTTTTATGGAACACTAAATTTCTGTTGAGCCAGTGGCATTAACTTCAGCACAGAGACTTAAGTACTCACATTAGCCACTCTGGAAGAATCATAAATTTTCCTTATACCCCAGATAACATTGTGCAAAACTGATGCAGTTATACTTCAGCATCTCTCCAATAATTTCTAACACAAATTTCTGTGACACATACATTAGCTCTGTGGTATTTTGTGCATAATTGGAGCTCATAATATACATTTTAAGTAAGTTGCATTTTCTGTTCAAATCAATCTATCCTGTTCCCACACTGTAAGCACAGTGGATAGTCAGAAATCTCAAGTCACTCAACAAGCGTTCCGCGTGGCTCTGGAAGGAACAGCCTAAATACTTTAGTCTCTAAAATTTACCCACAGATTTCTTTAAAAAAAGATAAGGAAATTCTGAAAAGCAGATGTATCTCCCTTGACAGAGTCAGCTTCCCAGACCTGGAGACTGCCCCTTCATAAGACAAAAATTACTGACTATGGCCAGAGTGGTTCACTGTTGAGCCAAGCACTTCGCTATTGTCATTTTGGCACTGAAAAACCTCGGATCAGTGGATCGGTTCTTTTCGAACACTTAAGCTCTTAGGGACTTAGGGCAGAAATGTATTTAGTACTTTCCAGCAGAAATTCTGTTTCTGCTGCTCTGGTGCAGCTCAGCATCCCATTGCACTGGACTGGAGTAGAAAAGCACATATGCTTGTAGTTTGTTTAGGAACTATTATGGTTCAGCCTGAAGGAAATTCTAGTTTACAGAGAGAAATGACAGAGATTTTTCTTGAATATTCCTCCAAAAAGAAGATTAATCAGCCAATATATACATAAGCTGATTTCTCATATGGTACAAAATAACCACAAAAAGCCTCCAGACTTCAGTAATTTGTATTTAAATCAGTAGCAAAGTACTGCATAAATGAGACTAGTTGACTTGTTTTATGGCAAGAAAACCATTTTAACCAGAGCAAGTTGTATTTTGCTTAGCAATGTAGCAACTCACACCATTACTTATGCTCACAGTCAAACTTATTTTCTCTATGCTTTACCAGTATCTCAAATCAGAACCGCCTCTCTGAAATGCTAATTGTAATTATTACCCATCCCAAGATCATTCTCACACTCTTTTGCTTAGAACTGGTAACGATGTACACAGATCAGATAATTCCTATCTCTCATTGTAATTGCACAGGGATTCTGTTTTCTTTTGAGTCAGTAATGTCTAAATTGGATTAAGATAAGTCACTTATAAGTCCTTCTCTACAAAAGTTGCTTTCATGACTGCTATATTCAATGCCATTTTACCCTAGTACTTAATTTTTTACACTACTCTCATATGAATGAGTTTCCATGAAGTTCATACTCAACTTCAGATTATTCTTGAGGAATAAATACTCTATGAAGAGTTAAAAAATATACTTCGAATTTGTTTTTGGTGATATACTCATGAATGAATGTAGTAACAGTCACGCTGGAACTCTGCATTATCATAAGATGAAATTCAAATTATATAATCAGAAGAATGACCGATCTCAAAATCAGAAGACTTAATCTACCTAATAAAATGTGTTCAAACATCTTTATACTCCTCTGTTTGTGCAATTGATGCTCTTGGCAATAATAATGTGAGTGGGTGGCTGAGAAAAGAGCTGGCAAATGTGATACTGATGCAAATTACTGCTACGTAGCAGCACATGCACTCACTTATCCAGGGAAACTTTTTTATGATTCCACAAGTTAGCCAGAAGTAATTAAAATATTTTACTTGTCAGTACCTGGGAAAAAATCGGTAGCATATTCAAGATTTATTATCTTACAATTGCAACTGAATTGTCACTCTGGTCAATGTCACAAAAAAAATTCTGAACAAATGAAATACATTTCATGCGTCTAATCTGGCTGTTTTGTGGATTTTTTTCAATATTGCAATTGGTGACCTCATAATGCCTATGTGACTTCTGATACACATTACCAATACCAAATAATGCCAACCATAAAATCCTGATTAGTTTTTCCTTTATTCTGGCATATTATTGCTTTCACTGTTTTAGCTACTGAGATGAATGACAGAGGAAACAGACAAGAAAGCAAAATATTGCTCAACATTACTGAAGGCCATATACACTTGAAATATTGTGAAATTAGCAGTCGTTATTTCTGTGTTGACTGCTGTTCTACAGAATGTAAAGGAAGACATCACAATACAAATAGTACTTGTTCTTTGGATGAGGATATATGTGATGTTTCCTTAACATCCTGGTCTGCGCTAGGATAGTTAATTTTCTTCCTAGAGGCTGGTACCCTGTTGTGTTTGGGATTTAGTAGGAGAGTACTATTGACAACAAACTAATGTTTTGGTTGTTGCTAAGTAGTGCTTAGCCAAGGACTTCTCAGTTTCCCATGTTCTGACAGTGAGGAGTCGCACAAGAAGCTGGGAGGGAGCACAGCCAGGACCCAAATTGGCCAAATGGATATTCCATAGCACAGAACATTATGCTCAGTATATAAATTGGGAGGAGGCAGCTGAAGGGCAATAACACTTACCTGCAAATTATTAATCAGGTGTATTTACCAGGCTTTGATTCCTAAACTGGTTTCTTTTTCTTTTATCTATAGCGTATTTTATTACACATCTAAGCAAAAAACCCACTTTTTAATCCTATTTTAGAACTATGCCCTGGATAAATAGTCAATATTCTTAAAAAATCCCATCTCTAAAGTAACAGAGAAAGAGAGAAAACTTATTTATGTACACCAATATTACAGCAGTAATATATACAAGCTGTACTTTCTCAGGAGAAACAGACTTCTCTCAGAACAAACAGACTTTAAGCCAGTTTCTCTTTTAGGTGAATTATTTAAATAAAGATGGTAATATAGCAACTGTGGAGGTCTGAGCAAAGTTGGCATAGTAAGAGAAAAATCATATTTAAGCAATCAATGTAACTTGATAAAAATACTAGCCTTGGAATCAGAGTCTATTATAGGCCTTTTAATTGAGTCTACTAAGTAGACAGGCAACCTAAACCTAAAGCAACGTATGTTTCAACACTAATTGCAACCAGAATCCAGACACAGTACCTTAGCTTTATCCCTCATGGATCCTTTTCCCAGGATGGACATTTTTGCACCTGTTTCTTCTTGTAACCTCTTTAAAGAGTTTCCTCTTGGTCCAAGCAATTTCCCAACAAAATTGAACTATAAAGCAAATAAGAGAACTCTTTTAGACCAACATGCAATTTTCAAAAAAACTTAATAAATCTTTATAAACAGACTGATTAAAAAAGAAAAAATTACTCTCCTTTAAAAAAAATACTTCTACTTAGCTCTGAGCCTAATTCATAGGATACAAGAATGGAGAACCAAGGTATCCTCTCATCTAGTGTGAAAGATAGTAAAAGTATTCAAGGTTTATTTGAACACCAGGAGGCTTCTCTCTAGGACTAATAGGCCAGTGACTGCTTAGGTTTATCAACTGCTAAACAAGAAATTTACTCATTACATGGTCTTGGTGAAATCCAGTGAATGCGTAAGTTCTTTCCCAAGTCAGCTAGCTTTAATGGCAAATAATATATTCTGAAAACTGAGGGCTTTACATGGATTTTTAGGAACTGATGCTTCGCACATTGAGTTTAAAATAATAAGCACTGTTTGTGTATCAGTTCAAATATCTGCTTTGCCAGTACCAGAACAAATCACAGTCAAAAGATCATGGTAGATATTCATGGGCACTTTCTGAGAGGATTTTGTAGAGCACTGGGCTTTGCCTGCCACGCTGCTAATATTCTTAAGCACCACAGACTTGGTGTGACAACACTGCTTTTTCTGTAGGAAGACGTCTACATGAAAATCAGAGGACAGGAAAAAAAATAAATGAGGTGTTAATCTTATGTCAACATACCAAAAAGGGGTGAGTTTATTCAGTAATTTGTTTATTCTGTAATGAACAGTCTCTTCACTTTATTATTTTTTTATTATTTCCAACATCGGTCGGAGTTGGTTAGAAAAGGCAGTCAGCCAGCTCAGCGTGGAGTCGACAAGTTGAATCCAAATTTTATTACAATGGAGGATTTTTATAGGGATTGGAGAGGAAGGTTCAGGAATTCAGGAGGAGCATGCTAATCCTCCAACTAGGATAGGGTATGGGAGAATACATAAACATAGGGAACATATACATATGTATGAAGGGGCTACACAGCAACAAGGAAAACAGTGATTGGTCGAGCTGCTGTGGCTCCACGAACTGTCCAATGACAGCTGACACCAGCTCTTGAGCACGATGTCCATGGCAACCACTTGCAACATGATGACAGTTCAAGCTGCAGCTCCGCGGTAACATCACACCTTAAAATCCCTTACAACACAGGCTGTTCAACCACCATAATTATGCTCTTTATAATCACAAAAACCACCTCCCACAAACATCTTTTAAAACTCTTCCATAAGTTGTCTTCGGAAGTTGACTGAGAATCATCAGCACTTGCTTAAGGTGTTTCTAAATTATGTTCAAGTCTGAAGAGGCAGTATTCTGGTCTGTTAACTTTCACTAAAAAATAAGCCCAGCCAAGGAAGAAGGAGTGTAACTGTATCAGGACTTCCTTTGGGTTTTTTCAGGAAAAAAAAAAAGATAATAAGAAATACAAATCAGGAATATGCTGCTAACCAAAGTACTCACAAATGTCTAAATAGATGTTATATTTTGTTTTGCATTACCTTCTGTTTCAAAAATGAAAAAAAAGGGGAAAATATTCTTGTTTCCACTTTAGCCAGAAGAACGTAACAACATAAAATGCATCAGCTATGTTAGTAACACCCAAACTCCGAATTACACCAGATATTCCAAACCCCAAGTTGGCTTTCAATCCAGTATCTTAATTACAAATCACTTCCTTCAAATATTGGTTAGACTATCTAATAAAATCATATGTAATCACAGGAAAAATAAATACATAAGGTGAAATCTACTGCCACCTAAACCAAAATAACTGATTTCTGCATGATAATGTGTCTATAGGGGAAGTAGTACAAAAATCCAGCAAGCTCTGGAACTCCAAAAGCAGATTTTTCAAGCTTGTGTGCTCGTACTTTTTTCCAGCTCTACCTGCTGATTTACTAAAAGTTATCAACTATTCAAAATGGGGCAGGATTTAGAGATGATGTGGCTATCAAGGTATCAACAATCCTATGTCTTCAAACTGTAGCTATGCATCTGCCAGGGAAAACTTGGCTTAGAAGAAGTTGTTGGCTTCAAATTGTTTATTAAATTTCGCATGAAAATAAAAGAAAGACTGAGAAAGAAACGTCAAGGACTGAATTTTGACTTTAATACTTGACAGTAGATTTAAACTATTGATAGAAGAAAGATTTCAAAATCTAAATATCCCATGTATGTGAAGGTTTACCAGAGACGGCTGAGAGAACAGCAAAGCTTTTGTTCCTCTGTAAGGACTCCCTTACATGCAGAATTGGGGGGTGTCCCTTCTTACAACACGAAATCTTTTATGCCACTTATACTTCACCAATCAGGCAAGAACCATGTCCTATTGCATCCTTTTAGCGTCTCTTAGTATTAAGAAAAGCTGCCCCTTGAAATCTGAAAGAGCTATAACATTACGTAAGTTTGGAGGAAATTATGAAGAGGCCAGTCAAAGCTCGACTATGCTTGTTCTCTGAACGGAATAAAACTATTAAAATACACTCTATGAAGATTTATGGTGACCATTTATATTTAAGTACTTCATAAACTGTCTAATCATTACTTTGACATATTGCTGCAAAGGAGTGGTATGGCCAGCACAAACTATGTTATGTACTAAGTGGATTTTAATCACTTCACAGGAAATAAGTGGCTGGGGATTTTAATTCTATTGATTATACAGCAGACAGGCACTCACTTTTCATCCACTATCTACAAAACACATATCAGGAAGCGAGCAGTTATTTACAACTAAAAACTGAATTGCTCTTGGTTTGGTTTTGTCTAAAGTTGAAGAGAAGCCAGGGCACTATAGCAGCCATTCTACTGTTGTGCTTGGTCTTACCAGCATTAGTTTGGGGCCACTGGTTAACCTCAGTACCATCTATAATCACAAAATTCCCCAAACTCTGAAACTATTTATGGAGAAAATTTGACTTAATAACTGTGATAACTTGTGAAAAATTATATTCTTTATATTCACATACAGGTAAAACCAGTCCATAAGAAACAGAAAGTTTTAGTGAACAGCAGAAACTGTAAGAAATTTGAAATACAACTTTATTCCTTTTTTTCAATTAGGATATACTGGACAAGGACCTGAGTAGAACCAATTTTACTACTGGAAGTCTTAGGCTCCAGTTACAGCCACACACACGCACACACAACCAATAGAGACAGTGGAGAAAAACATGGAAACTCAGGCAGTTTGCATTTAATGATGAGCCTTCCCCACAAACACATTCCTGGTACAGCAGCTGTGACTGCAGATCTTATAAAGCAATCTCAGTTCCAATCCAATTCTGCCATGTGTACAAATTTTCTCCAAATAATAGTGGCTCTAAGTCTCTGGGACAATATCTAGTGATATTAGGAAAGGATAGGTGAGAAATGCTGATATATAGAAGAGAGAGTATTAACAGAAAGCTTTCATTGCTGGGGAGCAAACAGACTTCCACTTGAAAAATATGGTTATTGTTGTGATACTAGATGTTTTTACAGGAGACTTAACTTTTAAATCTTGTTTATGAACATGAGCTAGACTTTCTATCTGCTTGCAGAAGCCCTTCCTGGTTTATGAAAAAGATTCTGTACATTATTTTCTTAGATTTTTCTATAATTTGTCTGGGCAAGATGATACATGTCTTCAGGAGAAAATGATTAGATGAAAGCAGGAGATGCTTTACTTATAATCAAATGCACATGTTGTTTCATGTGTCAACAACTGTGCAATAAACCTTCTCCTGTGCAAAATAAAACCTGACAGACAACATAGCTCAATAGGTCTTACCAGTCAATCTCCCCAACATCTTCCCCAACCAATATATACACACAGTTTCACTAGATTTATCTGCATCCTGATTACTTTCACACTTCACTCCGTACAAGCAATCAGACTGTAAAGGTGCCCAAAGCCAACACTCTGGCTTCTCAGTTTTCATCCAAGTTTTGTTCATAAAACTTTTTTTTTTTTCTTTTTAATACCACATGAAAATAGCCAAAAGTTATACTGCACATGTGGAAACATGGAAATTCCTCTCTTTCCTCTAACTGTGCTGTTTCCATCTGTCTGGACAGCTCTGTGTTTACACACGAAGTAAACTTACTGACAGAGTGAGGTATTCCGTTCAACTGTATATGCTAGGGATGAATACTTAAAACCAAGGATTTAGATACCCAAAAAGTATACAGAACATGGAGAAGCCTTAAGAACTAATTACATGAAATTGCTAACAATAAAAACCTGCCTATGTTAGTCAAAAGCTTAGTGTTGTGCTCCATACATAATAACAGACTTGTTCATCATTAAACCCCCTTGCAGTAAAACAGACTGCTCATCAACACACCTCACTTGTTCTGGGCTAAGACTCTGAGAAAAGAATCCCTAAAAGTAAGCAGGTATTGTTAAGCTGGACCACAGGACAGGCAGTCTGTCTCTCAATGTCAATATACCACACATGGTTTTTATGAAATGCCAGAGATTAATTATAACTTGTGCTGTAAACAAAATGCATGCATTAACCAGTTCTTAAAATATATCCTACAATTGATAACATTATAATAGTCCGAAGTGTTCTGCAGCACCTCAAGAAGATTGTCACATGCATTTATTCTCACTGCCATGCCTGAACTTACCCCTTTAATATGGGCATGTCAAGTGTTGCTCTCAGAAGTCACAGTATCAGCAGAATTGTAGAATGGTTTGGGTTGGAGGGGATCTTAAAGATACCTAATTACAAACTCCTGCCATGGGCAGGGACACCTCTCACTAGACCAGGTTGCTCAAAGTCCCATCCAGTCCAGCCTTGAACACTTCCAGGGATAGGGCAGCCCCTACTTCTCTGGGAGACCTGTTTCAGTGCCTCACAACCTTCACAGCAAAGGACATCCTAATGCCTAATCTAAACCTACTCTCTTTTAGTTTGAATCCATTCCTCCTTGTTCAGTCACTACATGCCCTTGTAAAAAGTCCCTCTCCATCTTTCTTGTAGGTTCCCTTCAG